TATATATATACACACACACACACATGTTCCATGGGTTATAAACACAAGTAGAAGCTTGATCCGGTGGTTAAAACGTTGGGGTATATATAAGAGGTCACAAGTTTGAAACTGGTCGTCTAAATTTTGTTCCTTTTATTTTGGCAGTTACTTAAAAGCATCCCACATCTCTCACGAATTGAAACTCTGCCAAATCTCATCTAAATCTCATCTCCTATATAAGCATCAACCATCTCCATGCTTTATTTAGCTCTTACTCTGAGTCTTATATTGTTTGAGGGATCAAAACAACAACCATCTTCAACTTTATATAAGTGAAGACTTGAAATGGTTTAAGAAATGGCTCGAGGTTTGGCTTAAATCATAAAACCAAAACCAAACCTAAAAACATGAGCGAAAAACCGAACATTGAAAAACCAAACTCACGTGGTTGTGTTTTAGTTTGGTTTCAAATTTTTAGAAACCGATGTTCTTTAGTTTTTGGTTAGGTTTAAGGTTAAAACTGACCCAAACTGACTCATGCTCACTCCTATAAATAAGTAACTCTGTAGGGGCGTAGCCAATATAGGGCAAGAGTGGGCCTTGGCCCACCCACACAAAATTAATGTTACATATATATGGTATGTACAATATATATTTTTGTTAAATAAAATGATTTATGGTTGTGATATTACATATTCCATTCAAAACTTGAAATTAGTAGAAGGGGATACATTGTTGTAAGACAACATCGTGTGCAACTTAAAATTTACAATTTAGCTAAGAATTCATTGATAGTTATATCTTGTTATCGTTTTCATATTTTGTATATTATTTGACATACCCTAAAACAAAATCATGGCTACGCCACCGTAGCTTTGTAAGGCTTTTGATACAAATCAACACTCTATTTCAGACTACGTTTCTTCGGTTAATAATCCATAAAAACTCATAAACAAGTAAAAGAATAAAAAACTAACCCATAAAATCTAAATATCATCATGATCACATGCCATTTTTTACTTTGCCAAATAAGTTTGAGATATTTGATGTCTAGGTGTGCGATCCAGAATTCCATTAAACAGAGGTCCAATGAGTCCGGAACATGTCCTGGAAAATGGTCGGGCCGAACTTGACTCGGAAATGACATGTTCCGAACTAGTCGATCATTTATTAAAAAAAATTAAAGTTATTTATTTAAATTGAGATTACATAGATTAGTTTAATTAATATCCCAAAAACATAAGCTCAGAACCCTAGTGGCCTAGTTTAGGTACAAAACTTATACACACTCCTCTTGAAGAGGACAAAACATGACTTTGACTCATCCTCTCGTTATTAACCTATGGAGACATCAAATCCCCAAATACTTCACCATTTCTTGCCATCTCAATCACAGTCTCACTACACTTGATCCCTTTAGAAACGCGAGCAATGGTTACGGTTACACCAGCCAAGATTGGGTCAAGGCAATATCAACCCATATCACAAACTGCACTAATATACAGCAACTCAACGAAATCTACGCTCATGTTATCAGAGTCCATATGCTTGAACGTCAACGAGCTCCGTTTTATTGGAACACCATCATAAGAGCATACACCAGGCTTTCATCCCCTTCAAAGGCACTGTATGTAAGCATAGCCATGTCTCGCGCTGGGGTCCACCCGGATACCTACACTCTGCCCGTTATTTTACAATCCGTCTCTCAGAAAAACGAAATCTCAATCGTCAGACAGTTCCATTCGGTCGCCACCAAACACGGGCTGAATACGAATAAATTTTGCGAGAGCGGGTTCATCAGTTTGTATTCAAAAGCTGGTGATTTCAACAATGCGCGTAAACTGTTCGATGAAAGTCCTGAGAGAAACCTCGGTTCTTGGAATGCTGTTATAGGCGGATTATCACAAAGTGGGCGTGCTAGAGAAACAGTGGACATGTTCTTGGAGTTAAAAAGAAGTGGGTTAGCCCCAGATGACGTAACCATGGTTAGCATCACTTCCGCTTGTGGGAGTTTAGGCGATTTCAATTTAGCTCTTCAGCTACACAAATGCGTCCTTCAAGCTAAAACCTTCGAAAAATCTGATCTTTTGATGTTGAATTCACTCATAGATATGTATGGGAAATGTGGTAGAATGGATTTAGCTCATATCATTTTTTCAAGAATGCAAGAAAGAAACGTTTGTTCATGGACATCTATGATTGTAGGGTATGCAACACATGGACATGTAAATGAAGCATTAGAATGCTTTCGTGCTATGAGAGAAACACGTGTTAGGCCTAATGGCGTGACATTTGTGGGTATTTTGAGTGCATGTGTTCATGGTGGGGTTGTGGAAGAAGGGAGATATTACTTTAATATGATGAAAGATGAGTATGGGATTAAACCAATGTTAGAGCATTATGGGTGTATGGTGGATTTGTTTAGTCGATGTGGGTTGCTTGATGAGGCAAGAGAGATGGTGGAGGCGATGCCGATGGAGGGTAATGTGGTAATTTGGGGGAGTTTGATGGGTGGTTGTGAGAAGTATGGGAATGTGAAGATGGGGGAGTTTGTGGGGAAGAAATTGATGGAATTAGAACCATGGAATGATGGGGTTTATGTGGTTATGTCTAATATTTATGCTAGTAATGGGTTATGGGAAGATGTTGGAAAAATGAGAAAATTTATGAAAGAGAGGAGACTTGCCAAGGTTCCTGGTTATAGCTTAGGAGTATGAGTTTGAGGGGGTTAATTGATTTAAATCATTAAAATATCATTCAATAATAAGAAATGACACTATTGTTTATGAAAATAGAAAAAAAAAATGGTTTTGCTGATGTCATGTAAATCGCGTATCCAAATTGTCTGCCACAAGTAAAATGCCAAGCATATAGAAGTTGATAAGTATCAAATTATTGTTTTGATGTTTTGTGTGTTTTTCAATGACCATGTGAGTAAAAAGTAAACAGATTTTACATTTATTCCACCTAGTATTTCAAACTCTTTTCAAGAGGTTTAGCCACTTAATTTTTAGTTTTATTCTATTATTTTTTGAGATTTATATTTTTTTGTTCCATTGTGAAAGATTGAAAGTTTGTATTCTTTTGTTGCCATGGTGGTTGTTAAGGTGGACATATGATGTGTCCATCCATTATTGAAACACTTTGTTCATGTTGTATTAGGCTGGAGGGTATGGTGCGACAAGAACCGTACTTTTTTCTCTGCCATGTAGGCGTCATGTCAATTATACCATATAAAGTGTGGTTCTTTACCACACACAATGTGTGTGTGTGTGAGAGAGAGAGAAAGAGAGAGAGACCCTCTACTACCACATGTTGTCAAACCGCACTCGAAACCATAGGGGGCAGTGTTCCTCCTTGAAACCGTGGCTAAGGTGCGGTAAGACCGCACCCACTCCCCATAGCCTTATGGTGCAATTAAATTTTGCTGTAGTGATATTTACACTAATAATATCGAGGTTGGTTGTAATGATTAGTATAAGTGACTTGTAAGGTCACTATAATAGTGAGTGTCACATCATCACCACATCCAATCACTAAACCAATGGTATACCAACCATTAAAACATCATTCTATATCATTTTTTTCTTAATTTTTTTAATTCAAAAATACATTAAAAACCTATAATTTCTTTTAAACTAGTTTTTTTATTGGATTAAAATACCATATTACATTAAAAAATTTATATTAATTAAAAAAACACAACGTTAAAAAAAACCTAAAAATGCCAAACATAAAAAAAAACCCTGTTCCTATATCTGGCTCGAAAGAACTCTTTCATCGCGAGAAAAAATTTCAAATTTTCGTCGTCGAGGTTGTCTGCTTTCATTTTAATATCTCCATACCGGTTTTTGTTGAAATGACGCTTACTCTTTTAGCATTTTTTTTCCATCCGACTCATCATCTCCACCTTGCTCTCTTAATTTGGACATATCGATCAAATTTGTCTCCAAAATGATCGATAGCGATAGATCCCGAAGTCGACGAACCCGCTTTTTTTGCTTTATTTCTTCCAACGGGCCGATGAAGAGGTTGCTCGTTTTCAAGATCTATCGGATCATCGTTGATGTCAATGTGTGTTCGCCCGTCTGATTGTTGGGAAGTTGCATCGGGGTTTTTTCTTGGATGCTTTAAGCCGGAAGAGGTTTATGAAGTTCCTTCGGTTTGCTCTTTCCATTTTGGAGCATCTTTCAGTTTTCGCCACGATTTGAGATATGGAAAAGCTTTGCGAGTTGCTGTTGTTTTTTCATATTGATCCAAGGCTGCCTTAAACACATCAAATGTAACACCCGGACCCCAAGGTACTTCATGTTTTCAATTTTTTTTTTGGTATTTAAGGGTTTGCCACGGTGTAGTGGAGGCACCACGACGTGACAAGCCAAATTTGGATCGCATGCTTCATTTAAGCCGCCACGGCGTGGCAACATATGGGCACGGAGTAGCAACTGACATTTGAGAAATCCTATTTTCTGGGTTTTGCTCCCTATTTAAAGGAATAAGGAGGCTAGGGTTTGCTCAACCTCAGACTCCTTGAGATTAGAGAAACCCTAATTTTCCCTCCTCCTTTATTTAAGCTATTTTGGTGTTCTTTAAAGCCATTGAAGGAAGAAAGAAGAAGAAGTCAGCTCAGAATCAGCAAGCTAGTCTTCATCCTTTGTTTTGGCACTCTTTTGGACCTTGGTAAGTGTCCAAGACTCGATTTTTATCATAATAGGTTGCTAGATCTTATGTTTTGTCCATAAATCTTCATGTTCTTGTTGGTTGGAGTGGTGAGATCTCATAAAGTTTGCAACTTTATAAATCTCTGGAACATTTGACATGATTGTTGGTTTGGATCTGAATTTTAGTTGGGTTTTGAACTATGCATGAGATTTCCATGGAAAAGCCCTTATTTTTTACTCATTATGGCTTCAAGACATGCATTGGACATGCATGTCTATAAAGCACCGACTTTTATGATGGTTTTGGTATTAAAAAACCCATCTATAGGGTATGAGTTAAGGACTTTGTGGAATAAGTGTTTAATGGATGAAGTCATGTCTCATTTAGCCTTTTTGGAACATAGGGTGTGAGATTTTGACATTTTGGGTGGTCATACCGGGTAAATTAGGAAACTTTATCCTTCTAGACCTTGTTTCGGACCAGATATGAGGTTTGGAGCTCTTAGGATCGAAGAAAATAGCTTAACCCATTAAGTTGTTGAAAACCCAATACCCACGACGTGGCATTAGGCTGCCATGATGTGGCGACTGTAAAAATAATGACTGTCTGGATGATTGAGGGCCACTGCGTGGCCATGGGTGTCCACGCCATAGCGGTTGACTAAAGTCAACGTTGACCCTTGACTTTTGACTCGAGTTGACTTTTGGTCAAACTCCTAGTTTGGATGAAGAACTAAGGGTTTACATGGTATGACTGTATAGGTGGTGCATAGCAGGAGTATTCTAGCAGTGAGAGCAGTAACAGTAGAGCATTCTTCTGAGAGGTGAGTCTTCTCACTCTATTATGGGTCGATGTAATGCCCGTGTTTCTAGGCTAGGCATTAATATTGATGTGATAGTCTAGGTTAACCTTTGTAACT